AGACTAAACAAATATAAGAATAGGCCAATGGCAAGCCAACACAGGTTTGTCACATCCTGGCCAGTATACTTAAAATAATTTCAATTGGAAGGGGAACACCCTTCCACAAGCTCCAACCTATGAGCTCTAGCCACCCTGTCGGACAGCTCGGCCCCTAGAAAATATATCCTACAGCCGCCACAGGTACTATACCTTTTTATCATTGTCACTAAACAAGCAGAACAAAAAAAAACCTGATGCCAGGATTAATAATAAAATAATAAAAATAATTATTATTTCATAATTATAATTTTGGCTTAAATAGCGCACTATGCTATTCCTCGATGCACTTAACAATAAAAATGAAACTGCCGGATTAACACTTGAGGTCTCCCTGGTTTCGTTTGTTGCCATTATCGCAAATACAGTAGTAATATTTTGATTTATTTTCTCAGATGTAAGTTTCAGTCATTGTTGAGATGTTTAAATGCGTCAGTAACAATGTGTGCCAATTATCAGTTGTTTGGAAATTGATAAAGTTTAGTGTCTTGGTAGAAGAAAAGTGCAGTTTACGGTGTAGTAGACAGCGGCTATCATAGGTCCGTTTCGTTTCGCACCACTCCCTCTTGCATGAGGTGAAGTTCCTACTAATGACTGCATATTTGTGGGACGTGCATATTTCAGATCCTAAATATCATGTTCTGATTGTTCATTTCTCACTCAAGAAAGATCTATTGAATTGCTTTGCTTGTACCGCATCACTCCCTCTTGCATGAGGCGAAGTTCCTACTAATGACTGCATATTTGTGGGACGTGCATATTTCAGATCCTAAATATCATGTTCTGATTGTTCATTTCTCACTCAAGAAAGATCTATTGAATTGCTTTGCTTGTACTGTACATATTGTGTGTATAACTTTTATGGTTTTACAATATTTAAAGAAAATACATTTTAAACATACATTTAATGAATAAGATCCCCTTTTAATTTCAGAAGGCACCATATAATAAATAAATGTACAAAGTTAATATATGATTAATAAACAATTATTTTCATCTCAATATTTAAATTCACAAAATGTACCAATTGCAAATTATTAAAAAAAAACAGGAAGAAAATACCAATTATAAAAAGAAATCTGCAAAGCATTTGTTTGTATCCATAGTCAGGGATGTTTGCCCTGTCCTTAAAATGTCAGGATTTGGGTCCCTAATATTTTAGATAATACAATTTACTGAAGAAAATTGGTAAAAAGTGCAGCGACATTTAATGACCGCTGAACACCGTCATCAGTTAGTCCAATCAATAAAAAAGTCCAGCCCCAATTGTGGTTAGGACGAGGTGTCATCAAAATAGTAATTCCTGCCCCCAACAATCAAGTAGGCAATTAGGACATGCAAAATGTTTATGTGCACTAGCAAACAAGATAAAAATCAGTATTGGAATATTCTTCCATCAACAATGTATTCAAGACTCTTGATTTAGAACATTTAACATTATTATGTTTATCAATGTCTCAAAAAAATACATTACTAAAAGTGCATATTAAGTAAGATAAAGAATCAAATTTTGATTGATTACTGTAGATAAAAAAGGATTACAAAATTTTAATTGCAAGAATAAAGCATCCTCTGTGCACACATGTATAATTCTCTCCATACAGTGCAATACAGTACAGTATTAATATTGATAGGCATCTGTACTTGATATATTTGTAGTCTATAATAAAATATGACTGCTGCATAAATTTAGCGACCCTCCGAGTACAAATAGACACTCTACCCAGTGATAATGAACTATTCTGGGAAAAAAATCTAAATATATTATCTTCTGTGATCCTATTCAGGTAACTGCAATGTTTTTTTGTGATTGTCATTAAACATAACACACTGTATTCTGAGCCATGTACAATAACCAGTGAAAATTCCAAACGTCAGCCTTGGATAATAGTGCTTAATGGTTGTATGTGGCCACCATTCAAAATCGGATGTTTTTCGTGTTTTGGATGACTTGCCTCAGTGGAGCAAGTCTTCTGCGCTTGTTACATAAGCTTGTTACGTATGCGACCGTTAGCTTTGCAATGTTCGCTAATATAGATCAAATACAGAAGCTAATAACTGCTATATGTCAATCATCCGCCAATCAGCTGTTAGAATAGTAGTTTCCACTGCTTATGTTATATTGCACCGTGTAGTCAAGATGATAAATTAAGCTGTTTGGCCCAAAATAAGCCACGCGATGACGAAGTAGAACAAGCAGATAGGATAAAGCGCTAAACCTTTCTTGTTTGGTGGTTGACTATCAGCAAGAAATGCCAGAGAAGCTGCAAAAACAAAACAAAAAAGTATTCTTCAATGTAATCTATGTATACCAGTGATAACTCAAAAAAAAGAGAGGGGGGAGAAGTTTTTAATTTTGTGAAGTATAGATTCTCCTCTATTGTATTGCCTGTGAATTTACATACAGTTCCTTTACATTAGATAGTTAAAAAAAATATGGAAATCTTCAAAATCTATCAAGACACCGAATGCAATGTGTGATATGCTAACACGTTAATAACTGAATGAATCGCAAAATAATTAGAAACAAATAAGAAAGATAGCTTACCTAAAGTTGACCAAAGGAATGCAATAAATGCAACAAATAATCGTGCAATAAACAGGTACTGGTTTGATGATAATAAAAATAGACGGCAGAGAATCAGCGCCACATTTAAAGGAAGAAGACAATAACCTAAAATACAAACAGTCTGGAAGAAAGATCTGAAAAATAAAATGAATACAAACGTAATATCAATAAAATCACATGGGTTAAAGCAACTAATAAGAGTCCACTGGCAAGTATGTAACAGTTTAAGGGTAACATTTTGTATTGTGTTCTACTTAACATCTTAATATACTGTATTTTATATTGTACTTTAAATGTATGTATTCAAACAAAAGATTTCCATTTTTAATATACATCTGTCAATAAATGATCTTGCGTACCAGTGGAGGCACCAGAGTTAAGAGGGCACAAAAACTGAGATGGCAATCTTTTTATTTCTGACGCCATTCCATATAATCTTTTTTATTTCATTTATTTAAATATTTTAAAAACTTGTTTTTACTTACATTAAACCACCGAGAAGCTTTGAGTTGAGAGTAACAATAACAGAACCAAATGAGACGAGTACGAATACCTCTGAGAATTGAGGCTGCTCTTGTTTGTTTTCATCAGAAGACTGCAGCATCCTGAAAATTAAATTCATAAAATTGTAGTATAGTTAAACCAAGTAAAAATATTCTTAATGCTATGTTTTGGCTAGGTTTCAGGTTTAATCATTACATTATTATTCACTTGCCAATTAAAATACTAAACTTAATTTATGAGGGGTAAATAAAATACTAAACTTAATTTATGAGGGGTAAAGAAAATGACCGGGCCAAAAAAAGTATACACTGTACTTTGAAAATGGCCCTGTGGGAAAAAGACCAAATTTCAAAACTTTATATCGATATGTAAATCCAGTGTCATTCACATTGAAAGTAATGTTTAACATTACAAAATTTTGTATACTTGGTAAACGTTTGGCATTAGAATGTGACCAATTCCACAGACAACTACAGTTCAATGTATTATCCTATAGAAGCTGGAAGTTAAGGGGTTTTACTCAAAACAGGGAGTTTCAGCCGAGCCATAAGAATCAACCACCCAGGTAATGTATACAAATACATTATTGTAGTACGGTAATGGATGAATAAATCCGTCCTTGGGTCATGTTGTCATGTTTTTGCACAATAAAACGCATCTGTATATGATACTTACATAGCAAGTAATGTGCAAAGAATGAGAGGTCCCCATAAGTCCCCTGCAAAAGAGAAAATTCAAATATCATCTTAATTCATAATTCTTTACTTGTCATATTCTAAAGGTAGATGTAGAGACTGCGAGAATCTCTGCTTAAAGCCAGTTTCTCACTAGACAAATTTATTCGCACATACCAAATCGCATGCGCATTCACACTTCAAAATCAATAGTTTGAACTGTTTCTACTTTTTGCGAAGTAAAAAAAACTTGCAACTAATCAGAGCTCAGGAAGTGAACCACCGCTTTCGATTCAGATATTATTTGTCGTCATAACAATGTCGTGAGATTTGTTTTCCTTGTTACACACTATATGGGTAACAATAAAAACTTGAGAATAAAAAATTCAGATAGAAACTATCCCCCGCAGAACACCCTCTCAGTATTTCTTAAGCCTAAAGCCAGGAACTCAATGCGCCCGACAGATTCTATGACAAACACAACGCCACAACGCGTGCATAACAGATCATTTTTAATGGCAATCTGTTTACGCTGTCACCGACAATTAACAGACAGCGTCGCATCGTCTAGCATTCACAGAGAGCGGAGTTGGTTTCATCGTACGATGGTCGTACGATGCAGAGGTGAGTGCCCGGCCTAATGTATCAACTTACATTCCCGTAGCAGTGTTTTGCTTTGTTTTGGATAGAGGACATGTACAAACTTCGAAAAAACTGCATTTAAATCTCTCATCTGAAAGAATAGAAAAAAACCAGTAAGAACTTGTATGTGTGGGTGGGTGTCTAATGTCTCTATATATGTGAACACTTGACAAACAAATTTTGCAGGTCACATATGTATTAAATAGGAAAATAATTATTAATTATTATTATTATTCATAATACCAATGAAATAATCTATCTGACCAAACTCTAATTTTTGTTGTAGCACGAGTTACAAACTACAAGAAAATAATCTGAGATTACAAACCCTCACCCTTTTGCATCATATATATACTTTAAAAAATAATAAAATTTAATTGCACGCCAACCAGAACCACCTAATAAGCCTTGTGTGGGTAACCAATCAATCGGGTGAGTTTGCATGTTGTCCAGACAGACGCACAGATGCATGCTATTGCAGTGCCCTTCATCTCTCCTTCGGAGGGGCAAGAGTAAAATCCAAAAACAAACATTAGAAAACATGGCTACGCTCCCCCGGGGAGCAGACCAATCAAACAAATTCCTACACTTACAATCGTTGTTCTGATTGGCTCATCAAGTGTTGAAAAAGTTGTTTCATCATCTTCCTCAGGTGCACCGGGTACTGTTATGTCTCCCTCTATAGGCATATTCATGTCGATAGTCTGCATTTTTGCATCAAGCTGAAATGAAAATGTGTAAATGAATTACTGTATACAGGGGTGGGGCCTACATAGCATACCAAGTCAAATGTACATTTGCCTATATTTTTTGCATATTTATTATTACTGCATTAATATTAGCGAGACTGATGTTTACGGTTAGGGTCAAGCCAGCTTTAAGTTCCACAGTCTATACCTGTACGAACTTGCCAATTTTGCAAACTCATCAGTAGTGAAAAGAACTTATCTTTATAGTTATACTAACTGAAGACTGCTTCCCTTTTTGCTGCGCCTCACTCAATCGGTCAGTTTTCTCATTTCATTATAAATACACAAAATAATTTATAAATAGAAAATAATATTAACATGGCTGGATGTTATTGTTTGTTGTAAAGATGCACAGAGTTGGGCTGGCCTGGACTTCTCTCTGGCCTAGACCTAGAGAAAACAGGGCAGCGTCCGTATCGTAATGGGTAAACTCATCCTCCTCTTCCTGCCAGCTGGTGTGGTGGTTGTTGATGCTGACTGGGCTAGGCTAGGCCTAACAACATGTCTGCTATTAATAAGTTAGACATTTTATTTTATGTAGAGTGGTCAATTTAAATTAAATGACCTATACTATTAGTGAAATACTTCATAATATGCTTGAATATTTGTTTTTAATGTTTTAATATCGTACCTGTGACGTGTCGATCTCCGTATCAGCCATGGTGAGCTAGTTAGTTATTTTGGTAGCCGTTTCTATCGACAGAGAGGGCATTTTCTCTACTTTTCAATGTTAGTATGGGACGCCAATGGAGTTTCACGTTACCATCATAATTTATTATAACGTATTCATAGAACAAGTGATAATAATAGAGATAAACTTGAACTTAGATGGGTTTCTTTGTTTGTGAATTTTTCCTGTAATTCTGTTGATGTTGCTTTCATTATCATTCATTATTCATATAGTTTAATACACTTTGCGCCGGTGGACCCAATTTGGAGCCACTGGAGCACAGTACGGCCCTGATAAGGCAAAACGACTTAACTCTGAAATTGATGTTTTGAGAAAAATTACTTTGAAGTTTGCCCTCATTCCTTTTTAAATATACTGTGCCTACACTTATATGATCTCTTCAGAATTGACAAGAATATTTATTTAAATGTTTTTGTAAAATTTCAACCAAAATGAATCAAAAGTATAAAAGATACAATTTATTTTATGAAGATGCATCTATTTACCATGTAATTGTTAATACACATTGTAGGCTATTGTCATGGCAAAACGACTTATCTAAAAGATAGGTCGTTTTGCCATGACATTTTGATAATATTGTTTGTAGCTCTTAGGTGGACTTCATAATTTAAAAAAGACAAATGAATAAGCTTAAATATAATATATTTAATATTAAAAAAACAGCTGAAGTTTCAGTGTTACAAGAACATTTTTAAAAATCAGTGCCAAATTACAACATTATTGTAAACTATTTATTTTGCTCACTATCAATATTCAACAGCTGAAATCAATTTTAAGTTAATTGCAAAATTATAAAGTTATTACAATGACTGTATAAACATATCAATTATTTAAAGTCTCTAATTATTAAAAAAATTATTTGAACCTATTATTAATTTGATTAATTTAGTTACCGTATTTTTTTGTTTATTTCATTTGTTTTTGGCAATTTACATTTATTTTTCATTAACAATAAGCATTTATCACACATTAAAAATAAACTTTCGTAGAACCTTTAAATACACTAGTATCAACCTATTTTTTTGTAAAATTTTATAGAACCTTTAAAAACTGTATCCAATTATTTTTATACAATTAACATTTTTGAATGTATTTTAGTAAACCTCATGCCGTTATTTATGTTAAATCAGTAATTCAGTTACTGTAAAACAATAATTTCCAAACAGTTAACTTTTCTGAAATTACAGGTAAAAATGTATATATGCAATTAAACCTATAGATTGATATGTATTCCTGTTTATAAATTATATTTTAAAAATTGAACTTAAATAACTTTCATATTAATTAATGATCATTAATATCGGGAGTGAATTTCCGGCACGATTTAAAATTGTAACGGTACTGGGTTTGGTCTACAAGCGTTCGTGCTTCCAGCAGGTCATTCCATTTACAGAAAAAGCATTTTTATGGACAAAGTGTTATGAATGGAATTACCTGTTCGAAGCACGAACGCATGTAGACCAAACCCAGTACCGTTACGATTTTTAATCGTGCGGGAAATCCACTCGTGATGTCTCCTCTTTCTGTTTTTCATCTGTAAGAACTGTATCGAGCTGGCTGACTGATGTTTCCTCTTTTTTCTATAAAAACTGTATTAGATTGGCTCATTGATGTCTCCTCTGTCTCTTTTTCATCTGTAATATTGAAACAAAATTTGGGAATGCAAATTAAATTAATTTAAAAAAAGTTTTAAGCATTTGTGTCATTATAATAATTATTATAATTCATAAATACAAAGACCTACTCTGGTAGAGTTCTGTATTAGGAGTGTGGTGTCACGTGGGGAACAGGCCTTGTCTAGCAAAGGCCTATATTTCACATAACTATACCCTATACAAGAAAATAATAGTAGGCCAGTTTTTACATGTTTGTTAGCCAATAATAGGGTTTGCGACTGAGACAAAGTGACCTCCACAATTTCAGTCTAGCCTCTCAGTATTATGTCTATCAGCCAGGTGAATCATCTCGTATCTGGCTATGCTAAAATAGCTGCCTAAACCCCAACTGGGGCCACCATCATTAGCCTAGCCTTAGTGCCTAGGTAGGGTAGACCTAAGGATCGCCTAGGCTAGCCTATGGAATGTAGGACATAAACCACCCAGGACATAAACCACCCAATTGGAATATACCATTGTTAAAGTGGGTGGGCAACAGGGTGAACAATGTTGGGTGGTCTTGCTTTTATCTAGCTTTACAATAGCTATAGCTATACATACATACAGTTATACATACAGTATAATTGTAATCTTAGTATTAGTATATTTGTGGTCCTACTCTATATGTAACAGAATTTAATTTAAGTATTAATTATTAAATTAATTATCTTCCTTTTATAATGTATAATAGCCTATAGTAATTATAGTATAAGTTAGTGTACTCTCTATGTATTATTATTATTTTTATTATTATTATTATTACCATTATTATTATTATTATTATTATTATTATTATTATTATTATTAAATAAAAATACTAAATCTAAACAAATTAGAATACTAAATATTAGACAAATACCATTATTGTAGTAAAGTATACTCTATTAAAGTACATTAATGGAGTATTTAATTTTGTTAATGAATGAATAACCTGTTCAATAAAATATTTTAGCTTGTAATTACTATTATAGAAATGAGTCGTATTGAAATACTGTATAATACTGGTTTTGCTGCGATTCAATAACATAAAATGATAAAATGGTAAGATCTTAGTGATGGATACATTTACATTCAAATTATTATCTTAGTTATATAATATAAATTCTGTAAATGTAAGTTAATGATAATTATTAATAATTCAAGACATTCAAATTATTATCTCAGTTATATAATATAAATACTGTAAATGTAAATTAATGATAATTATTAAGAATTCAATTTGTAAACCATATACATGTATGATAAATACTTTTTTATAGAATTAGTCATTTATATTCTTAT